AAGAAAGTCACTCGCTGTTGACACAGTTGAAACTTCTGCGTGCAAAGAGCCAAGTGAATCATGCAAGCAGCATACCCAGAACGACTCCGCACCACCCCTAGCACAAGTAGGAGTTCCTATGGAGAGTGCTGTTGCGCTGACCCATAAAGATGCCGAAGAACCACCAGTACAAGATAGAGACTCTGGGCTGGGCAGAAAGTTCATCACCTGCTAGCGCTGCAGCTCCGCAGCAGCTTTTTCATCATGGTGCAGTGTCGGAAGATGATATGCAGATCTCTACGGATACAGCAATACTGAAACGTCGCGCATCGTCCAGCTCGGATTCAAGCAAAGGGAGTGACCCAGCGTCAGTGACTAGGGAGTCACGCCGTCGCCGAAAGTCCGTGCCAAAGGGGAAGTGTCGCCGAACCCGATCTATGAGGCCTGCTGGGGGCTCACCGGAAGCCTCAGCGCCAACTCTTGGTTCTGATCAAGTGGGACGATAAGCGAATTAGAAGGTAGTCACCATGGCGCAGTCTGAGCGACTCATATTTGCCACCTTGAATGTACGTGGCCTTAGGTCTTCGCAGAAACAAGCACAACTCCGTAGACTTCTCAATCGGAAGCGTCTCGACTTTGTCGCCATCCAAGAGACAAAGATCGAGAACGAGGAAGAGACCGAGAAGGCCCTGAGGCCTTTTCTGTCTCAGTTTAATGTGTGTGTCTCACATGCTAAAGGTTTATCTGCGGGCTGTTGGTTGTTTCTGAGAAAAAGCCTACCCTGTTCAGCATTGTGCACTAGTGTTGATGAAGAGGGCAGGTATATATGCTGTGATTTTTTGTTGCAAGGAGTGCCATGGAGAATTATCAATCTATATGCATTTAATGATGTTCCGAAACGGCTTGAGTTATTTGAAAAAGTGCGTAATTTAATTGACGTCGACAGATGCACGGTACTTATGGGAGATTTCAACTGCGTATGTGAAGCTATTGATCGTTATAATTCGTCTGGAAAGAGAGACAGGAGTGGTGAGCTTTTATCCGGTATTGTAGATAATGCAGGACTAATTGACATCGGGGTCTCGAATCGAGCAACAGCATATACAAGAGTACAAGGCAGCTCTCATGCTCGCCTTGACCGGATTTACATGTCCTCATCACTCCTATCTCGTAAAATTTCCTGCAGCACCGAAGCTGTATCATTCTCAGACCATTGTATTGTCATAGCGCAAATTGGTGAAAATCGTCACAAACAATTCCGTCCCCAGTGGGCCCTTTGGAAAATGAATGCGAAGCTCCTCTGTGATCAGGAATTCATGAATCGCGTCCAGATGGCATTGAGGCAATCTTTTTCGATTGGTTTTCATATCTTCGCTGCTTGGGAGCTTTTTAAACAAGAAGTTCGCTCTATAGCTTTAGAAATTGGGGCTGTTAAGTCTTTCTATAGAAAGAATGATGAAAAGATACTTGTTAAAAGTCTTTGCAATCTTTATGAGATGGAATGCGAAATGCCGGGAAAGTACATCAAAGATATTGAGAATATTAAGTGCCAACTACAAAGATATGATGCTGCTCGCTACCAAGGGGCACGTATTAGATCTCGGAACCAGCGCACTTTAAATTCTGAGCAACCGACGCGCCAAGCTTTACTTGACGAGCAACGCCATGCGATTTCTAAAGTTATTCCAGACTTGTACTTTAACGATGTGCTCATAAAAGATAACGGAGACATTACTTTGGCGTTCGAAACGTACTATAACAGCTTATTTAGCTCTCCCTCTGATGATCCTGACGCTCACCTCAAGGCTAGTTTTGTTTCTCTTGTGAACCCCTTGAAGGACAGTGATTGTGAAGTCATTAATGGGCCCATTACTCTACAGGAAATCGAGCAAGCAATCGACAACTTGCCTTTATTGAAAACACCGGGGCCTGATGGCATCTCAGGCGAATTTTACAAAGCTTTCAAGAAAACGCTTGCTCCTATATTGCTGAATATTTTTCAGATGAGTTACGACATGGATACACTCCCACAATCTTTTTGCAAAAGTCACACTGTGTTAATACCGAAAACAACTGACAAGGAAAAACTTCGCTTCGTTGAGGGCTACAGACCAATATCGCTGTCAAATGTGGACTACAAAATTTTCGCAAAAGTATTAGCAAATAGGTTGCAATTTGCTATGTCGATCCTCATTGGGTCTCATCAGACATGTGGGATCAGAGGTCGATCCATACAAACCAATATACATGTCGCTCGAACAGTGCTTCAATACTGTCATGGTTCTCAAAAACATCTGGCAATGCTACAGGTAGACCTTGCAAAAGCTTTTGATCGTGTTCGTCATTCCTTCCTTTTTTCTCTTCTCGAACAAGCTAATGTTGGCAAAGTTGTTCTTAAAGGCGTTAAATTATGCTATAATGAATGCTCAACTCGTCTGATAGTTAATGGTCAATTCTCCAAGCCAGTTTCTATTCGCTCTTCTGTAAAACAGGGATGCCCGATGTCACCTCTTTTATTTGCACTTTATCTAGAACCACTGTGCTTAAGCATAATACAGTCTAGTTGCATTCGTGGCTTTAGAATATTAGGCAGTGAGGTTAAAGTATTGGCTTATGCAGATGATGTCGCATTCTTTTGCACAGATAAACCAAGTGTCGAAAATGTGGTATATACTATTGAAAAGTTTGGCGTAGTATCAGGAGCTCGTTTAAATGCCTCTAAAAGTTTAGGACTGTGGTTTGGCTTGTGGGGTAGCACACCGAACCACTTTGCAGGGATTAATTGGACAAGAACTCCTCCAACATAGCTCGGTGTACCATTGCATGCATATAGATTCAGTGCGCATTACTATAAGGAACGTGTCCCTAAGCTTGAACGACAGGCCCAGACATTTGTGCCCTATCGACTTTCGATATTTGGGAAAGCTGAAGCTTGCAATACTTTCTTAGCGACAAAACTTTACTATGTATTGCAACTTATTCATTGCGCAAGATTCTATATACAACGCTTTCATCGGATTTTCGCTACTTTCATATGGTCTTCGACTTTTGAGCCCATGCGTCGTGATAATATATTCAGGCCAGTTAGTGAGGGTGGGTTAGGACTAAAACACCTTTATCTATGGCAAATAGTGTCCCGATTCTGCTTTTTTCGAGACAATTCCCATCCTGTAATCCGTTCCTTCTTGCAGGTTACACTTGTTGATTGCTTACCAGATTTAATTGTTTCATCTAACTTCTCCGAACGCCCATGCTTGTGGGGATTCATGCAGGAAGTTTACCTCGCAGTTCAGTTCCTTAAAGCTCGCTTCTCTGTAGAATACCTGTACTCAATTACGCGCAAGGTGCTTTATAAGGACCTACTGAGTACACTCTTCCCACCTCCATTGTACCGTTCACTGTACGCCAATCTTCCTGGTCACGATGTGTTGAAGCGAGTGCGCAAAATGTACATTCCACCAAATTCAAAAACATTCTTCTATAAACTCCACTCTGAAACATTGGCGGTAAACACATGGTTAGAAAGAAAAGGTATTTTCATTTCGTCTGTTAACTGCCGTCTATGTGATGTGCCGGAAACGATTGAACATTGCTTTGTTAGCTGCAAAGATGCCATACTATTTTGGGATGTCCTTCAGCGAGCACTGAAAAAACGTTTCGTCATTAATTCTCACACAATACGTTATCTTCTGCCAGCAACACTTGATGAAGTACCATATGATATGTTTTTCCTCATGGGTTTGCACAGCTTGTGGAAGACACGAATGCAAGACCGCAATGCAGAACCCACCACCTCTTCAAGCGCACACTTCATTCAAATGGCTATCCACCTAAAAAACATCTACGACGAGCTAGACTTTAGACCGGACTGGTACTCCGTCTTAGAGAACTGTTTGACCTCACCCCTTTTTTGTTTGTATAACACGATGTGAAGAACTCTTCATGTGAGGAACTCACGCTGTGTTAGCCATTTAGTGTTTATGAGTAACGCTTGAGCGCTTACTTTGGCGATTTGATTGTACTTTTGTTCGCTTGATATTGTCTTTATTGCCCAAATACTTTAATAAATACCATGAAAAAAAATTATGATGGACGAGAGGACAAAGTTCTCCAGCCAAGTTCTCAACGAAGAAGTGATGCGTCTCAAAACCGACTGTATAATTTCACGTTTTCGAGCAACCTCAAACGAGAGATATACGCCAATTTTCAATGTTTTTTTTTCTTTTCTGTCCAACTATTTTACTCTCTCTACGCAACGCTCACATTAGTTTACACGGGGACTTTTGTGCTTCTAGAAAACAATGCGACAAGCGTATTCAGTGGCGAGCCCATCCACGGTAATTTGATGCAGCAAACAACAGAACAACAAGGCATTGACCATATGGTCAACCTAATTCCCTAGATTGTGAACACTGTCTCTCGGTTCCGTGCAGGAGGAGTGACGCAACTTGTCTAAGACTTCAAAGTATCATGTGTATTTGTTTTGATACGCCTTACTTAAGTTTAAGATATTTACATTGAGTGCGGCTATGCGTATTCTAATTGTAGAAAACAATTATTGCTTTGTTGTAGTTGTAATTCAGGAAACCTGCGAGTTCTTGCACTGTCACTGCGCACATCTCAGCAAAACCCCTAGCCTCTTTTTACTATTTGGTTACTTACTTTTCAATCTACGCATATTCGTGGACAGAACGTGCGTATGACATCAGTATAATTCCTCATTACCAGTTATCATTTCCAGTGTTCACTCATGTATAACATCAAAAACAAGATATAATATCGGCATACAATTTTCGAAGCTAATACATCAAAAGTGAGGATATATATATATACATAAGGCATCTTGTCTGCTTAACTAGTTGCACCTAATTCTTCACTATTCGTTTAAGTTTCAACATCATTTAGCCGGCATCTCTAATGCAGACACGTAATCAGAGAGAACAAATGAACTCGTATTTTGCAAAACAGCGTTCAAGTGCGACGAACTAGATCACAACAAATATAATACTAGATAAACGCAACTATGTTGCATTCGAAGCGTCACTCTTCGCTAATGATCCAAGAGGAGACGACAAGCTAGGCCCGAAAAGGCGCTCAATTTGTTCCAGGTCTTTGCCTTTTGTCTCGGGAACAAATATTAAAACAAGAACGAAGCTCGCAGCCAGGAATGCGCTGAACATCCAGTAGGTCGCCGCAGTGCCCAGGATTGCACGGATGCTGTTGTAGCTTATAGTGAGGACGAATGCCTCGGCAAACAGTGTCGCGGTGCACGTCCCCGTCGCGAATCCTTTGGCCTTCAGGGGTATCATCTCGCCCAGAAGTACCCACGGCAAAGGGCCCAGCCCGACGGAGTAGCCGACGAAGAAGGCGCACAGGCTCGTCAACGGCAGCCAACCGTAGGCCTCCACGAACTTGTCCCCCGCGGCCGCTTTGATGTGGAAGGACAGGCCGAGCACAGCGAGGCTTAGCGAAGACGCGGCGGATGAGAAGAGAAGCAGCACTTTGCGGCCCAGGCGATCGGCGAGGACCGTGGCTACTGCCACCATGATCACCTAAGTAGTGCACATAAAGCGCATAAAAAGATTTCAGCCAGTGCTAGGCTGTCATAACTGCCGGACAGCGAAGCTGTACGCGCGCGAGTGAATGCGATTGGCTAGCGAGGTCACGTGGTGTCTAACAAGCCGCTTGATTTCAAGTACGCGCTTAGACATCTCGAGCACCATCATAATTTCGACAATCATCCTTTCGTTTTAGTTCAGCGCTGACTCCAACCTCTGCTCACGTGACATGCGTGACGTCTGATAGTACTACTATAGATGGCTTGCAATGACGTCACGTCACTGAAAACATCACGTTAGTGCACTGCATGGCGCATGCAATGTTATGACCCAACGTGTTAATGTTATATCGCTTGCAAGTTATTTTGTAATTGACGCAGTGGGGTCAATAGAAATCTGGCGGCATCGTTATCACACTGAAACGAATTAAACACGATGAGGTTACACTGTTGGTGAACATAAAATCTCTAGATTTCTCCCTGCTCATCTAGTGACTTAAGGTGTACCCCTACGTCATACAGGTGCGACAATCCCATCTCGTGCAAGCTATTTTCTGGGTGTTCGAAATTACCCTTTATGGTTTTCTTGAAGATGAGCACTGGGAAGAACATGATAACCATCATTGCAGATAACTTGTGTATCTAGAGGGACACAAAGTGAAACAATTCTGGCTGTCAGTGACCCAATTACCTAATATTTATTAATTAACTTTCCAGTGACTGCAGCAAGCCGGCATATTTGTGTTGAATAGTTGGAGGCACTCACATTCCTACAGTTACACTCGGGAGAATTCTAGCACGTCCGTGCTCCGAGATATACCGCGACAAAGTGTAGTTGTGCTTTGCATGATTACGCATGCAAGACAGGCAGTGCTGGCGTGAAGCCCCTTTCCGATAAGCCACGGCAGTTGCGTGCGTCATTTAATCTGACAATGGGTCGAAGTCATCGCAAAAATAACGGTTATACCCTTTTACTATATACCGGCTGGCGATAGGAAGCTATGAGTGTTCGTAACGTCGGGGAGAAACACTGCACCGGTCTTAACCGCTTTGAGCGCGTGATCATGCAAAGCACAAATGAAATTTCCCGCCGGTCATCTTGGAGCACAGACATGCTAAAAGTATTCTTCCACGTGTAACAATAGAAACGTGACTGCCGCCCACTTTTCAATACAAGTATGCCTGCTAGCTGCAGTCACTGCAAAGTTAATATTAGTTAATTGGGCCACTGACCGCCAGAAGCATTATCTCACTTTGTGTCCCCCTGGACACAACTTATCTACAAAGGTGGTTTTCATGTTCTTCACGGTGCTGAACTTTAAGAAAACCACCACAAAGCTTAACATTGAACACCCAGTATATACTACTACACTACGACGATTATACTACAAGGTAATACCGCTTTGCTGCCCCGCCTCGGTGGTCTAGTGGCTAAGGTACTAAGCTGCTGACCCGCAAATCGCGGGATCGAATCCCGGCTGCGGCGGCTGAATTTTCGATGAAGGTGGAAACGCTGTAGGCCCGTGTGCTCATATTTGGGTGCATGTTAAAAAACCCCAGGTGGTCGAAATTTCCGGATCCCTCCACTACGGAGTCTCATAATCATATGGTGGTTTTGAGACGTTAAACCTCACATATCAATCAATCAATACCGCTTCGCTGTAAAAGTTGCTCCTAACTAATCTCACATTTCCTGATAGGAGCATATATACGTTACCGCCTTGTAAGGAAAGTTAAGATGTCACGCTTCTTTACAGGATGTAGAAATAGTCTTGTTGGTGGTAAAACAACGTGAAACATGTGTCGTGCGAAAAAAAAAGGTCACACAAAAAAGACGAGGGTAGCAACCGATTATCCCGTCGTCACTTTCTTTGTCCGGGTCTTTTCGATACAACACTAGCTTCCTTACTTGGATGGCCGCCACGGCAATTGCAGCGTTTTCTGCGGACACTGACGTGCCGGCCTCCTCAAAGATGTCCTGGGCGAACGTGATGATCACGCCTACGGCCGAGAGCTGCTGCATGCTCATGACCAACAGAACACACAGGAAAGACCGGTAGATGCGCGGCGACGCCAGGTCTCGCAGCGTAAACCTCGCTCCGGCGTCCCCGCCTGGGCGCACGAGGGCCTGCTCCATCGCGACTAGCTCGGTTGCGGCGAAAGGGCCGACATAGAAACGCAGGGCCGCGGCCGCACGATCCCTCAAGCCGTTCTTGAGGAGCCAGCGGGGAGATTCGTGGCACCAGAGCAGCGAGATGGCCATGATGGCCGCCGGTATCATGCAGCAGATGGCAAGCATCGAGAAGCTGAAGAACTTTCCCAGCACGAAGACTACCAGGATACCGGAGGACAGAACCAGATTGGCACCCGTGTTGAGCAGCCCGCGCAGATCGGAGGGCGATATCTCCGATATGAAGACGGTGACTGCGAGCGCCACCATGCCGGTACCGACGCCTGTGAGCAGGCGACCGACGAACAGTGCTGCCTTAGGAGTGGCCACCGCCAGACATGCCCAGCCACTCATATACCAGGCGGATGAGGCGATCAGGGTGCCGCGCCGTCCGGTGACGCTCAGCTGACGTCCTGTCGCGTGCCCGGCAAGTATGAAGTACAGTGACCGCCAAGCATTGAACTATTTTCCACATAACTGCAAACATTAGGACACGGCGCAAGCGTACTTTAGGTGAGCGAACGACGCGAAGCGAGCGCTTGGCGGAAAGGGACCGATTATGTTCTCGTTTGCAGCGTGCTGAGAGATGGCTCGCCGGACTGAGGACCGTTTAAGGACCGTGGCAGGCTGCTGGCTAATTCCGCAAAACACATCCGGCGCGTGAGCGATGGTTTCCAAATATTAGAAAACCACGTAATCGTGCGATATCAACCACGCGGCACGCATGAAGCGGTGCCGCGAGGAGAGAGGGTGATAAGGGAGGAGCTTGACGATGCGGCGAGGGTGTTGTGGCGACGATAATCGAGCACCGCTACTTTCCTACATCACGGGGCTTTCCTACACTGAGAAGGGGGGAGGGGAAGCCGGGGCACAGTTTGTAGAGCCATCTCACAGGCTCCCATAGCGTTGCAGAACATTATCGGGCAGCGGACTGTCCCGCCATTCTCTCTCCTAAAGTATTGTTGCACCATGCATTAGGACAACCCGAAGAAACGAATGCACACGGTGGTTCACTGCTAAAGGGAACATCACAACTCGTGCAGTTTCGCGGTACATATTTGCAGTTTCGCGCAAGCACAGTTCGCTCAGTCGGCGCTACCTCGTCGTTCGCTACCATCGCGAATCGCCATGTGCTCTCTGCACTTACGCGAAACTCGAAGCAGTCGCCGGCCGGCTGTGGCGCCCAGTAGACGACGCGAGTTCCGATGTTCCCTTTAGAAGTGAACCACTGTGTGTTAATTGGTGATGTAGCCTGAAGGTGGAACAATGGGGCCTTGTGCCCCTCCACCAAAACAAATTTCTGTCTTTGCCCCTGTTATACGGATACCAGTCTAAGCATTACCGGCGCTGATTAACGCGCTGCCCCAACTTGTGTCATCATTCCCATTTACCCTGCGTAGCATTTTTCTAAGCAGAGGTCTCACTGTCCACCGAGCGTAAACTTATAGTTCGGTCATATTGCTATAGCGTCTAAATCGAAGCAGTCGGAAAAGGTAAATATGCTTGTGATTACTATACCTCGCTTACCCCCGCTTACACCACCGATGACTGCGCCGAGAGTGACGAGGGAGCCGAAGCAGTCGCTGTCCCCGTCACTGAATTCCATTACCTTCCGTATGCCTGGAAGCGCTGGCGACGAGTAGGCCATGGACAGGCCGCACGACAGTGCAGCCAGGTAGGTTACTGCCACGCTGACGTACAGCCGCCTGCGGGCATCCGCTGCCGTTCCCACGTTGTCAGGGGTGACGACAGCCACGGCTTCGCCGTCTGTCAGCGTTACGGGGCTCGGAACTGCTGTAGAGCACACGCTTACCAGGAAAGGCTCTGTGGTACCTGTGATGGTTCTGTTCAGACAAGGAGCTTGACGTGTGGTCTTTTCTGCCGGGTCAACAGGAGAGTTTTCACCGATTGCCGTCGTACTGATGTACGTGGTCATAGCTACCGGCACAGCGACTACGCTTTCTGAAGAGGTCACATGCTCAGAAGCTGATGCGATGATGTCGGTGGTCGCTACGCCAGCTGATAGATCCCCACTTCTTGCCACTGTTTCCTGTACTGCGCGCACGCGACTGTTGACCGTCACGTCCATCGCAAGAGCCTGTGTAGTAGCCGAGTTATCAAGCCAGCGGTGCCTTAGAACGACGTGGTCAGGGGCAGCGCGTGCGGGTGAGTTTCGTTCCGAGGCACCGATTGGTCTAGCCTGAGCAGTCCTATCGTGACTGAGCGGTTCGGTGTTCTGAACAAAGAGCGCGTTCGTCGGTGCAGTCGCTCTTTCCATCGGTGACATTTCCGCAGCTCCGGCATCCAGAAGAGCTACGGTTGCAACTGCGAAACAAGCCATATAAACGAATATTTTACTGCTATATATAACCGGGATCGCTAACAAGGAACGTGCAAATAGAATACGGGATCTCATCACGGCCGTTTCTCTCCTTTTTTTTTTTTGTTGATCGTGATGAGTACATATGTTCCAACTAGCCCATTTTGCTATACTTTACTTCAGAATAAAGAATGATGTTTCCTTCTTTTTTTTGCCTGACGCGTGCCATGATCCACATAAAATTTTAAAAAATGGTACCACAAAGTGATAAAACGAGGGAAAGCTGAAACATTAAGACACTTGTGCGGATGGGACTGTCCGGAATCTGGAAATAAGGTGTGGACAATGAGGTTATGTGGAGCCAGCACTGAAAAGGAAAGAAACAAAAATGTATGATTTTCACTATCAATGTACTACTAATATTGTTGGGGTTTAACGTCCCAAAACCCAGATTTGGCTATGAGAGAAGCCGTAATGGAGGGTTCCGGAAATTTGTACGACCCTGGTTTTTTTTATGTGCATCTAAATTTAATTGATTGATTTCATTGATATGTTGGGTTTAACTTCCCAAAACCACCATATGATTATGAGAGACGCTGTAGTAGAGGGCTCCGGAAATTTTGACCACCTGGTGTTCTTTAACGTGCACCCCAATCTGAGTACACGGGCCTACAACATTTCCGCCTCCATCGGAAATGCAGCCACCGCAGCCGGAATTTGATCCCGCGACCTGCGGAACAGCAGTCGAGTACCTTAGCCACTAGACCACTGCGGCGGGGCGCATCTAAATTTAAGTACACGGGCTTTAGAAATTTTCGCCTTCATCAAAAATGCGGCTGCTACACTTGGAATTTCCACTGTCAGAGAGCCTCGTGCAATTAGAGCAGATTTTTTGTACACTTGAGTCGCTTAACGGTGCTGTGTGGGCATCGGTTCTTGCGGAATAGGAGCAGACAAGTTTCCTGGGAGCGAGTGACGTTTAGTGCCACATGTTCATCGTTCCGTGGCCCAGTCCAGATAAGCCCCGGGCGAGATGGGGCACATGCTTTTTATTCGTTTCATGCACGTGCGCATTATCGGCTTGTTAAAATGCGGCGCTCGGCCGGACACCACAAATGGTTCCTCAGTTTAGCAGCCCTGCGTGTTTGTTTTCTCGAAGGGACCATCATGAAAACACGATTTTTGTGACACTCTACAAGTGCGAATAAATTTTAACAAAGGGGAGGGGCAGATATTATGCAAAAAACATTGAAGTCTTTCAAGCAAGACCGTGCTGTTGTACTGGACGATGTCGTTGAACACGAGTGGCTACGGAACTTCTAATATCTATGGACCCTTCACTGCAACAAATGTTTCGCGGTAACTTAACTTTTTGGTTGTCAATCCCTTGGATTTATATTACCCGATAGCGAACGATCGTTTAAGCATGATCACCGCGAGCACTGACGCTGTCGCCAGCATGGCAACAGCACAATGGCATGGCTACTTGAAAAGCAAGTGATTGATTGGTGTGTGAGGTTTAACGTCCCAAAGCCACCATATGAAAATGAGAGACTAGGTAGTGCGGGGCTCCGGAAATTTTGACCATGTGGGGTTTGACGTGCACCCAAATATGAGCACACGGGCTATACAGCATGTTCGCCTCCATCGAAAATGCAGCAGCCGCAGCCGGGATTCGATTCCGCGACCTGCGGGATAGCAGCCGAGTTCCTTAGCCACTAGACCACCGCGGCGAGGCTGCTTGAAGAACAAGATTGCCGAACGATCGTGAAGATGATTTCAGCCCGAGTTACGCGATATCATAGAAAAAAGAAACGCACAGGACAACTTTGGCTTTATAATTCAAGGTTATTCAACTGTAGTTTTAAACAAAATATTTCTTAAAAGTTACCGAAAACCAATATAACACTAGGGCGGCGACCACTACGGCCAGCGACAGTATGCCTAAAGTCTGAAGCACTTTTTCTATGAATCATGGAAGCGGTAAGTACAAAATTAGGGTTGGAGAGCAAGTATGCTAACAAGACGCTACGATCTTAAATTTGCTGCAACACCGACTCGAAGGCAACAGTTTCGAACAGCCTATGAGAACGTAAGGTTTTATCGAGCAGCTTAATTACAAGACCCTATTCTCGGCAGTTTTACCTTCTGAACGGGCTTTCTGCTGGTCCTCGGGAACGTGGCTCGTAGCGACAGAACCGAGCTCCTTCCAACGTAGTCGATCTTCCGAAAAACTGCGGCTGCTCGTTGATGAGATATCCATTCCAGCTCAAAGCTGCGACTGCAGACAATAAAAACAACCTTAGCGTTGTTTAAGGGTCACCGTTAATTGACTTGTGACGGTCGTCTGGGCAAACGAGCTGGTCGAAAATATCGGCTTCTTCGTTAAGAATTCGCGCGTGTCAGCGTGTCACGAAGATGATGATGATGCCTCAAACTTGGTTAATACCCACTGACGGGGATCGGTCTAAAATTGATTACTTAATTTAGGCATCAACCTTTCTTCTTCTGAATAATTTTGATATAGATAGCATTTAATATTTAGAAGACCTTGCGAATTCATCTTCACTATCAAGGTTTGTGGCTTTTTATGATCCGAAAAACAAGTAGCAATAAACGATCCAAATTCCATATGGATGCAGAAGGTTAGTATGCTTAATTAGATAAGCGAACTGGTTGAAGAACATCATTTCTTCAGCCACGGAAGCTATATTATAAAGAACAAGACTACCTTCGCAATATTTATTTTCATTTGCAATTCCGAGTAATTTTCGTTATCTTAGAAAAGGCACACTGACAGCCACATAACCAAGTTTCCTGGACATCCTTGAGAGCTGTTACTTACTTAGTGAATTTAGGGTTTAAGCTGGACAAGACACATGCTGAAAAATCCATCAATGAAATCAGTGCGCCTACAAAGCACATCAGGATGCACGCAAATTTTTAGTGGCCTGAGTTACCTTCCTTTTTTCAGATGCCAAACATCTTATGAACGAGCTTGATCCGGTGGCGTCCATGCTCCACTGCGCATGTGCTACTCTCTCTCCCACTTTCCTACTCTCTTCAAGTATGCATAAAATTCATACTTAATCAGTCGTTGGTTCTGCATTACGGTCTTGCATGTGCGTTTTCCACTGACTGTGCAGTCCCATAAAAAGAACATATCAAAGGGCACTTCATCCTGATGAGTTGGAAGAAGATAGCTCATAGTACGTCAATTATGGCAAAATCTTTTTGAACGGTTTTTTGAAGGATGTTCCAAAACTAAAAGGCGTGTTTTCAGCTAATAAAGCAGTTTTCCTATTGTCTGAGGTACGTCGTGAAGACGGCAATTGACTGATGAAACAAATATACCCGTCTTTTGCAATCATGGTGTTACCGGCAGCACATTTGTATGAAGTTTAGAAAAGCAGGTTTTAATATCGGGAGAATCGTACATCTTCCGGAATCGTTTTTGTACATTCTTTTATGGAGTGTCGGAATACAATGAGCAGCAAAGTGGAAATTAAAAAAGAATGGATAAGAAATCTTTATAGAGTCTACGGCTTGATATTGTGTATGAGCATTCCATGGAAAATCGGACTTTGAGAAACGGGACAGTGATAAAAACTTCCTCCATAAATCCCTACAAACACGGGCGTTCAGAGAAATCCGCAGAAACAATCAAGTCTGGTAAGGCATTAACAAATGTATTCTGCTAGAATAATCAAATTATGAGATGGGAACTGTCGCGAAAAAAGCAGAACCTCGAAACTATTTCTTTCACACACCACACACACACACACACACAAACACACACAATATATATATATATATATATATATATATATATATATATATATATATATATATATATATATATATACTTTTAGATGAGTATAAACGAGCTCCTTCAACAATGATGAATTCACTTATTGTAGATAACACATTTTCAACATTTCGCTTGTCCGAACAAAAAAAAAGTTGCGTCAACTGCATAAGCCAATATCTTAACCTCTTTGCCTAATATGTTGAAGCCACGAATACTATTCGATCGTATTGCGCTAAGGCATAGCGGTTGAAGATAAAGTGGAAACAGCCGTGGAGAATTTGCGCAGCGTTGTTTTACAAAAGAGCGAATAGATACTGGCTTTGACAGCAGGCGATTACTGATTATCTGAGTTGAACAGTCATTGTAACAAAGTTTAACACCTTCCAGCACAACAGAGCCCACATTTGCATGCTCCGGAAGGGGAAAGAGAAGGGAACGACTGACATGGTCAAAAGCTTTGGCGAGGTCTACCTGCAGCATAGCAAGCTGTCCTTGATAACTATAGCAATACTGAAGAAGTGTTCGCGCAAGGTATATGTTTGTGTCAAGCGACCTCGAATCCCACGTGTCTGGGGAGAACCAGTGAGTATTGATATCACAAACTGTAATTGATTTGAAAATTTTGCAACCAACATTCGACAACGCTATTGGTGTGTAGCCTTCAACGGAACGAAGATTTTCCTTTTTAGAACTTTTCAGAGTCAGAACAGTATGACTGTTTCAAATGGACCGCGGGAGAGCCTTCATGTCGTAACCTTTCGTGAATATTGTAAAACTCAGCACGAATCCCAACAGACCCAGGTGT